TTATGTCACTATTTTTTTTTTTTTTTTTTGATAAAGATCTGTTAACGTCGTTATGATTACGTACTTTCCATTTGATGCTATGCTTTACAATTATTATTCTAAATGGTCTTTTTATTTTTAAATAAATATTTCTTTCAAAAACAAAAAATATTTTTTAAAAAAAGTTTTCACTTTAAACATGTTAATGTTTGGTATATTACTTAAAAAATAATTTAAAAGTTAAAATCTATATCTTTAATTACTTATTCGAAACTTTAATTAAAGGAAGGTACTTTATGTTTATGATCTTTACAGTTTCTAATTCATATGCATATCTAATATTTTGACGACATAATTTTTAAATTAAATAAATGTACGGTGTCTGTTTACGCAAATGCATGTAACATTATAAGTATTTGGGTGAAATTCAAACACTCATCTCGATTAATTTAACTGTTTTAAGGAAAAACTCATCTATAAATGAATAGTATTTTTAGTTTGAATTATTTAAATGTAGATTTTGAAGTAATTTAATTAAAATTACTAGGAAGATGGTTCTTAGTTCTTACCATAATAAAATGTATTTAAAATTATTTTGCTTTTAATGAAACTAAATAAAGAGACAGGATTTAAAATATCAGATTTTCATAAAACTATCAACGTCAACGTCAAAAACGACATCCTGAAACGCCACAAACGACAAACACAGTCACGCGATCCGACCACCGTCCCAATCGGTCGTTATGAGCTGTAACACCGTTTACTTCACACCGTCAACTCTGCTTCTTCTCAATGAAAAAGCCGCGTAAAAGCGGGTCCCAATTCATAGTTGGTCCAGATTTCCCAGCTCACTTCTCTAGCATTTATTCATGCATTTATATTTCAATATTTATTTTTACTATTTTCATAAATACATTAATATTTCTGAACCACAGACACAGCTATAATATTACTATAATTGGGATTACTTTATAAATTATCATGTTAATGGTATAATTATGGATGTTAAGTAGAATTTAAAGCAACATGAGGTTCAGAATTCAGAATAAGGATGATAATATAAATAAAAACTGACAACAATGTAACGCTTGGTTGCAGAACTTTCATGGCATCTTCGTGTTAAAATATTCCAATGTATGCAATATCAGAATCGACCCTACAGGCCTACAACAAAATCCTTAAATTAACAGCTGGGATTGGATTTAATGGGAAGTCATGTTTATCCCTGTATGGCTGTATCTACGTATATGTTTATTGTGAGTGCGACTTTGAATGAAATTGTTCTAGTGGGGTCCTCTCATTTCCTCTCTGTAGTGACAGCCTAATCAACAGCCTGGAAAGGGTTGTTATTGTATGTAGTTACACTAAAAAAGCTTTTCTTCTTCAACTTTGATTGCGGCAGTCTTGTTTCTTCAACTGGGTTTTTCCCTGTCTATCTTACCCAGTTCAGCTTCTACTTCGTTCTAACCATTTTAGCTCTCTTCCTGTTCCTGAGGTGAGTGTATTCTTAAAGCTTTCATCCTTATTCTTAAAGAAGTTGTAGTGCTTTTTGTTTTTTTTTTTCACATTGTTTCTGAAAGTTTTTAGAGAGGTTAGTTGGATTGGCATTGGTTGGATAGATCTGGAGATTTGAAGATATAGTTTGTGAATTTGTGCTTTTCAGATCTCATTATATTAGAAGCTAGGCTGTATTGCCAATGGTGAAGATGAAATCGGGGAAGTGGGTGCCTATAGTTCTAGCTATTTTTCTCTTTGAGTTGGTATGTCGAAGTTCATATGCCTCATACAGTCCAGCTGATAACTACCTAATTTCTTGTGGTTCTTCACAAAATGTTACCTATCTAGGTAGAACTTTTCTTCCTGATTCTGCACAATCTTCTCGTGTGTTGAAAAGTGCCAATTCTGTTGTTGCTAGCTCCAATTCTAGTGTTCCATCTCCTGTATACCAATCTGCTAGAATCTTTTCAGCCACATCTTCTTACAAGTTTGAAATTGAGCAAAAAGGTCGGCATTGGGTCCGGCTTTATTTCTGTCCTCTTTCAAACTCCGGAAACAACCTGAATTCTGCTTCATTCACTGTAGCCACTGACCAATTTGTGCTCTTGAGCAATTTCACTTTCAAGAACTATAATGGTTCTTCTATGTTCAAGGAGTATGCAATCAATGTGACTTCTGATACCTTTACGCTTTACTTCGTTCCCTCAAACAATTCAGTTGCCTTTGTTAATGCAATTGAAGTTGTCTCCATCCCAGATGCACTCTTCCCTGACCAGGCATTGGCTCTACATCCATCTGCCCCTTTTAGTGGTCTTTCTGATCTTGGCTTTGAAACCATTTATCGGTTAAACATGGGGGGTCCGTGGATCTCTGCTCAAAATGATACCCTTGGAAGAACTTGGGAGAATGACGAGAAATACCTTCATGTAGACGGCTCTGCTGTGAGAGTTTCTGTTAGTCCTTCCTCCATTCAATACCCAGCTTCTGTCACAAGTGAAACAGCTCCGAATTGGGTTTATGCCACTGCTGTAGCCATGGGGGATGCAAATGTTGCTGGTACGAACTACAACATAACCTGGGTCTTCCCTGTTGATCCAAACTTCAGGTACTTTGTTCGGGTACATTTCTGTGATATCGTGAGTGAGTCTCTGAACAATCTAGTGTTTAATTTATACATCAACGATTATATTGCTATGGGAAGTGTTGACCTCTCAAGCTTGACCAGTGGCCTGAAGGTACCCTACTACAAAGACTTTGTCTCCAACTCATCCACAGATTCCCATACTTTGAATGTTAGTGTTGGTCCAGATATTGCAGCAGATATTACTAACGCAACTATGAACGGGTTGGAGATTATGAAGATCAGTAATGAAGCTAAAAGTTTGGATGGGCTCTCTTCTGTTGAGGGTCTCCTTCCTAAGAAACCCTCTAATAACAACAAACTTCGAATTATAATTGGCTCGGTTGGTGGAGCTGTAGCTGCATTGGTGCTAGTTGTTGTCTGTTATTGTTGCTTAGTAGCCCGCAAATCAAAGACTCCTCACCAGGGGCATCCATGGTTGCCTTTGCCCTTGTATGGAAACTCTCTGACCTTGACGAAGATGTCCACAACTTCCCAAAAGAGTGGGACAGCGAGCTGCATTTCCTTAGCTTCCTCCAATCTTGGCCGCTTCTTCACGATCCAAGAAATCCTAGATGCAACCAATAAATTTGATGAGAGCCTGCTTCTTGGGGTTGGAGGTTTTGGCAGGGTATACAAGGGAACACTGGAAGAGGGGACTAAAGTTGCTGTCAAAAGAGGAAATCCTAGATCCGAACAAGGTCTCGCTGAATTCCGAACTGAAATTGAAATGTTATCTAAGCTCCGCCATCGCCACCTTGTCTCTCTTATTGGTTACTGTGATGAGCGTTCAGAAATGATTCTTGTTTATGAATATATGGCCAATGGCCCCCTAAGGAGCCACCTGTATGGAACAGATCTACCACCTCTATCATGGAAGCAACGACTTGAAATATGCATTGGGGCTGCTAGAGGACTTCATTATCTTCACACTGGTGCAGCTCAAAGCATTATTCACCGAGATGTGAAGACTACGAACATTCTCTTGGATGAGAATTTTGTAGCGAAAGTTGCTGATTTTGGCCTCTCAAAAACAGGTCCTTCTCTTGATCAGACCCATGTCAGCACTGCTGTTAAGGGTAGTTTTGGTTATCTTGATCCTGAATACTTCAGAAGGCAGCAGCTTACGGAGAAATCAGATGTGTATTCATTTGGAGTAGTTTTGATGGAAGTTCTTTGCACTAGACCAGCTTTAAATCCTGTTTTGCCAAGGGAGCAGGTTAATATAGCAGAATGGGCAATGACCTGGCAAAAGAAGGGTATGTTGGATCAAATCATGGATCCTAACCTCGTGGGCAAGGTGAATCTAGCTTCTCTTAAGAAGTTTGGGGAGACAGCTGAGAAGTGCCTAGCCGAACACGGGGTTGACAGGCCATCAATGGGAGATGTCTTGTGGAACCTTGAATATGCTTTCCAGCTCGAGGAGACCTCTTCTGCTCTCATGGAACCTGAAGATAACAGCACAAATCATATCCCTGGTATTCAGTTGACACCACTTGAGCCATTTGACAACAGTGTAAGTATGATTGATGGGGGGAACTCTCGCGCTGATGATGATGGCGAAGATGTTGCCACAAGTGCTGTATTTTCACAGCTTGTAAATCCTCGTGGAAGATGAGAAGACGACTCCCATGCAGCAGTGATCTCGGCCACCCTTCCTAATGAAAATTTGAGTCATGGCCTTGAGCATTTTTTGAAATATCCCAAGTGAACAATTGAAGGTTAATTATCACATTTACTCTGTTCTTTTACCTCAATTTTTTGCCCATACAATATTCAGTTTGTATTATAGTTGAATGATGGGTGCCAATTAATCCATCAGATATTGCATGTAAGGTGTTTTCTGTTTGTCTTGATTTAAAATTTAGCTGGATTTCAGTTGTCCATATTTTTTCTTTACACAATTACCAGATGATGAAAAATGTATTGCCTTATTTATCTTTTTATTCACTGAAGTAGTACAGAATATAAAGCATTCCTTACTATCTTGTGATTTCATTGACTTGTGTAGATATATTGTCTTTATATTTTTCTTTGATTAGCACAAAGAGTAGACATTTTAGCCAGCCTTTCTGACAATAGTCCCTCTACATTTTAAGTTCTGCAATGCAAAAATTTGTAAGTATTCGCGCTGGGCAAATACTGAAAGAACCAGCTTAACATTTTTGTGTACATCACTACATCCATCTACATCAAGAGGATTGCCAAAGAGAAATTCTTGGCTTCAGAAATCAGAATGTTACAGATACTAAAAACTAACACTTTTTGTCAATTATATTACAGTGTTTTGACCAAGCTCTTTTGAGAAGTTTTTAAGTACAAAAGTATATAAAAATACATGAGATTTTGATTAGAAAGATGTTTCTATCATGTGTCGGATTTGGAAGCAGTAATATAAGTCTTACGTTTAAGCAATGAAAATTTCAATTACAGATATAAAAGTTAACGAAAGTTGAACAACAAAATACTATTATTCATAACAGAGCAAAGTCCATTTCGTTTCTATTGGCCAATCTTCAAATATTTTTTAGGAACAGTAGATTGAATTGTTCTGTAAGCATTTTACAGTTCTCATTCTCATTTCCTGCAAACTATTCCATTTCCACTGGTGGCACTACCAGTACAATCCAGTGTGCTGTAATCCATCAGCAATGCATTCTTTTGGTCAAAAGCTCCAGCTGGGTTGAAGAGGCAAGAATTACAATTTGAAGAGAGAAGTGATGAAGTTCTGTACTTGTCTTCACCTCCCGCAACCGGCATTGCCACTCCTGGCTTTGCAGGATTCTGGAAATCTGGCCGGTAAGTCCTGCCAAGTACTCCTTCAACTTTTGAGGATAGGCCACTGAATCTGAATTGTATCTCCAAGTGAGCAAAACAATTATCAGAAGGTATCTGGTAGTTATGAATTCTATCATCTTCCTTTGTCACAGGTACCACATTAACTGAAATTTCAGCAACTTCCGGGAGAGTGATCAAGACGCTGTTCTTGTTTGAAGTTCTCTCAACTCTCAGGTTGCCTTCTTGAGATTCCCAAGAAGAGAGATGGCCTTCAAGTATGACAAATTCTTTTCCATTGTAAGTGAATATCAGATGGTCAACGTCATCATTCCATGTGGCTGCTTGAGTAGCCTCGAGAGAGAAGGTGTGGGAATCAAAGAGGAAACCAAGGGCTTGAATCCAAGTATAGTCCCTACTTCTGCCTGCTGGCCTGAGGCCAGTGAAACGAGCATTGATTTGAAGGTTAAAATCGGATACTAAGCTGAAATGCTCATCTCTCTTTCCATGGAAATAGAACACAATTCCGTCTCCACCAATGAAGCGGGGGTCCAAGCAGGCTGCTCCAGGGCTATTGCAGTTTGGTTTACGATCTGCAATTACCAAAGCATTAAGTGGTTAGTTTTAAAGCTCATTACATCAATAATTATTTGCGAAGAACATAATAGTTGGAATACTAATGATCTTACTTCTGCACTCAGCCTTGCATATGGGAGAATTACAATTGATATAGCAAACTTTCGCCTTAGGATCACTTGGTGTTGTCGTTGGGCATTCGTATGGGCAAGTAATCTTCTTAAGAAAGCACGGGCTTTTTCTCGTGCTACAGGTCAAACTCTGTGGTGCTGCATTGATTCCTACCGCAACGGAAACTGCAATTAAAAGAATGATCAAGAAACTATTGCTGCTTGAGACCTTCATGCTTGAAGATATCAAAGACCAACCAATTAGATGTTAAAACTCAACTGCACAAGTACTAACTTTCTTAATTGCTCATTTTATAAAAGTCAACAAGTGGGATTATTTATTCTTAAAGAATCTGGAAATTTGTTGGTTACTTAAATTCTTTTGCCAGATAGTTAATCTTGGTCAATGCTTTGGAGCTTGTAGTTCTGATTCGAAATTGGCAAGTTGACATGTTGCCTTTAGGCCCATAAGAAGGCAGATTGTTTATCTCCGCGAAGAGTCTTGCTTATAGCTACTTAGATTCAACGCGTATAACAAGACTTTACAACGTTCAACGTTTTCTGGGGCTACAATATGCGAGACTGGTTTCTTTTATTGAGAAAGTGAAGGCAATAAGCCATCTACAAGCACATGTAGGGGCATAATATTCAGTGCCACAAAAAATGCTTAGTCCATGTGATAAAAACACGGTTTCCAGCTCTGCAAAACTTATGCACATATTGTGTTGTTTCCTGTTGCACCCTAATATCACGGTTCTTTGTTGTGAATATAATCATTCTTCAACTTGTTCTGCAGTTTCAATATCCGTTCATTATTATTTGCAAAGAAACAACCAGCCATTTTCTAAATTGCTGTTCTGTCTCAGCATTTTGATTATAAAGATTGTAAGTTTCTGCAACATGGTTTACTCATTAGAGAAATAATGGTGATACAATTATTCATCTGCATATATGAATATAAGACATTGTTCATTACTCCACTCTAACAAATCTCATATTTTACAACAAATATTTTAAATCGAAGCTGTGAAAACAGGATCTTCATACAATATATATTGAGATAAAGACATTGTTTATATAAATTTTTGTCAGTACTTATTTGCAAGGTTGAACCCAGTTTGAATTAAATCTTATTGTTTAGTGTATTAAGACGATCAATCATGAACCTTAGGATGTTATTTCATTATTGGGTTGTCAAATAATCACATATGTACTCTTGAAGATGAAGCGGCCCCATAAGTATGAGAGTTGAAGAAAAAAGATAATGGAGAAATGGAAGAAACTAATTGAGAAAGATTTGAGACAAAGGTAGTGAAGGTTGATTGAATAAGTGAAATATCATAAGAGAATTGCAAGATGCATTCTAGGGAAATACATAGGTTTACTGCAACTACATCTAAATATTAGAGTCCTTCCTCGGTTGTTAATAAGGATAATCACTGGAGTTCTTAATTAATCGATAGTTTCAAAATCTCGAACGATTAGTTGAAGTACACGTAAGCTTTCCGAACATCACAAGTCACTTTTCAGTCTCATCATCAACAACACTTTAATTGAATGGGGATCAATCATTCAAAGATATTAAACATAGTAATAAACACTCAGTCATGAAAATAGTACATGGAATTATTCAAATAACATAAATCGTATCTTCATAACATAGGCTACATCGTAGTCCTAGTAAAATAATTTAGTTCATGCTATAGAAGTTAACAAACATAATAGAATCAGAAAACATTCTGAAAAGCAAACAAGAAACGAAATTCTTCTCTCTCTTTGTGTTGCTTGACTTGCTCTCCCAAGTAGCCGCTTCCAAGAGTGAATTTCCGAACCCTCAATTCTTCTTAGCTTTTCGTAGTTTCCAAATTGAGATCATTCTAAGTTTTAGAGCTCAAGTTATGTTACTTACGCTCAAAACTGACATTTAAACCTACAAAGCATAGTTATCTTATTAAATACCATAGTCAAACCAAAATGAACGAAAAGTAACGTAAATCTTATTAAAAGTCAATGTAAAAACGTGATTAAAAATAGGATTATCAAGTAGAAGAAATTACCAAGCCATCAAAGATAACTGCTTCTGCATTAGCCTTTATTAAGTGCCTAGACAGTTATCTGTTGAATGGTGCTTCCTAGATTTTCTTTAAATGTAAATGCTACTCATAAGTCTAAAAGCCTCGATCCTCCTGCTTTGTACACCGGCACATCACATGTATAGATGCATATATAGTGTTGCTTTCATGTTGCTTATTACAGTTCCTGTATTGAAGAATATAATCATTCTTTAACTTGTTCTGTGACTTCCATACTAGTTGTTTTATTTTTATTTTTTGTGCAACGAACGAAACGAAACGGCTAATGATCTTACAAGTTGTATTATATCTTAACATTTTTAATTATTTAGTAATCTGTCAAATGACGAACCTAATTAAACAGAAACCAATAAAGGATGAATTTTACTTCCTAAAAAATATCAAACAGTTAATGACCCATACTACCTCATTTACCCGTTCCTGACTGTGTGATCCTTTTCCACAGTTATTAATTCGGCATAGCCAATCTTCTTACGTATGGCACAGATGAGGTCAATAGGATCGAATTGATCTCCAATTGCCACCAATCTGTCTTTTTCTTCCCCTTCAAGTGCCACCAATGTTACACCTATTTAACAAACGTAAGAAACTCGATATTAATTTAGGAAAGTGAAAATATTGTTCCCTTTAGTGCCCAGTATCTCGTATGCAGAACAAAGTTATATATAAATATTACTATTTACCATCAACTGCTGCGGCAATCTCCATGGCTTCGTATCTGCGATTGTCGGAATGAAGCGCCACCTTGAGGACTATCTTCAGTAAATACTTTCCCATCACAGTTGAGCTCAACTTGTAGATAGATTTGAAACCCTCAAGGTTTCCCAGATGCTCAATTCCGGTTATATTATCCTTCAACAATGGGGATGGGCCAATCTCCAAATGTCTGAGATCAGGTATTGCACCTTTGTCTATTGTCACCAATTCCAGTCCTCTAAAGATGAGGAGACTCAACTGTTGGAGTTTCGGGAACCAACCATCTTTGAAATGCAGGTGCTTATCATGGTATGTATCTTTGAGCCTAAGCTCAAATAAATTAGGCAGGGAGTGAAGGATGCTGATGGGATCTTCACTTAATCCCGATAAATCTAAATCTATTCTGTTTACATCTTCAAGCTCACGAATCCAGATTGGCATTTTCTTCACAGTCCCTGTTAAGCAGAGGCGTTTAAGATATCGAGGAGGAGAAGACATGCATTCTATGTCAATAACCTCTTTTCTACTTGTTGAATCTACAATCAGAGATTCAAGATGTTCCATTTTTGCGATGAAATCACATAGATACTTCCCACTTCCATTTGTTAAAGTAATGCCAAATTTCCTCAATTTCCTCAGCATCATGAGCTCTTTTAGTACTTCTGTGTCTGCTCGCACAAAATATAGCTTCTGCAGATCCGTTAAAGTCCCAAAACCCTTCTGTATTGTAATTCCTCTTCCAGTTCCGATAACATCACCGATAATGTGCAAGTTGTATACCCTTAGATACCGCAATTTTTTCAGGTTTTTTATCTCAGCTGGAAGGTTTTTCACGCGAGACATCTTCAAATCCAAAGTCTCTAAGTTGACAAGCTTACCTATGGACTTGGGAAGTATTTCTACTCCTGTATTTCTCCGATTTAAGTAATGTAAATGGAAAAGTTTTCCTACTGCTTGAGGAAGATAACTTAGAGAAGAATTTTGAAAATCGAGTACCTTTAAAAGCTTGAAATCCCCAACAAATGTACTCATGAAACTATCAGGCAGATTATCAAAAATTAAAACAGCACGGATCTTTGAGCCCTTTATAATCTCTGTAACGTGATCAATACTTTTGTGTATTGAAATGCGCTGCGTTGTACTACTGTGGAGACTTGAATTCTCTTCTCGCTCTTCTTTCAGGACTCGACAAAAATCCAATCCTTTCGTCTTTTGGAGGATGATCTCATACATTAGACCATGGACTTTGTAGCTTCTGATTCTTCCAGAAATATCCCTGTTCACAAACTGAACCAAGCTTCTGTCAATGAGCTCAATCAAATATTTTTCTGCAACTTCCTCAAGTGTTTGGTTGTCGTCGTATTCGACAAGACCCTCGGCTATCCATAGGCGCATTAGTCTTCCACATGAAATTGAGTAGTTATATGGAAACAAGCTGAAGTACAAAACACATGATTTGATGTGGAGAGGAAGATCATAATAACTATTAGATAAAATATTAGTACAACTGATTTTTAGATAGGGATCGTTTCCTAATTTTGAGCTCAGGCTATCTAAAAACTTTCTCCATTCATACTCAGTCTTGTCTTTGTTTGACAGAAGACCACCTACAACAACAATTGCTAGTGGTAGTTTTCCACATTTTTCAACTATCCTTTTAGATAGTTTCTCCAACCTTGGAGGACAGCACGCATCAACGCCAAATGTGTTTTTACAAAAAAGTTCCATTGCCTCTTGCAAAGATAGAGCTTCAAGCTCGTGGATTATTGAGAATGGTATTACCTTAGCAATCATCATCTTCAGCGTCGTGATCATTATCCGGCTCCCTACGTTGTGATCAGGTAGAGCTTGCTGTACATACTGCCAAAATCGAATTGGCCACACGTCATCAAACACAACCATCTAACGCTTGTTCTCCAAGTGTTTGTCCAACGTGCTGATCAGCTCATCTTCTTGCATTTCTTTAATCTCTCTTTTTGTTGGACAATGAAATTTCTGTACGATTGACCTCAGCAGATTTATCTTGCTGGATTCTTTCCCAACGGTGATCCAGACCCGGTAATATTCGAAGTGCTTTACCACGGTGCGGTCGTCATAAATTCTTCCAGCTAGAGTGGTCTTGCCTAGTCCTTCGCCCACCACCGCAATCACCGAGCGTTGCAGTTTTCCTTTCACCAAGAGATCAGTCAGTTTTTTTCTTGTAGAAACAAAGCCCACAACATGATGGTCTTTGATGAATCGGTAACAAACTCGGTAGTCATGTTGACCATAAGTGGTTCCACTGTTTGATCCTTGACCCATGGACCTCCACTGCTGATAGCTTTCTGCTCTTTGTTTTATTTGAGCAAGTGATGATTTGATATTCTGGATCTCCTTGACGAATTCACGCCGCAACTTTTGTTTCTTGAGGGAAAGATTGATTTTATAAATTGTAGACAATAAAATCTACGGTCATGAATACAGGGTCGAATCTAGTAGTACGGCCACTGGCAGCCTAATGGACCTATGAGGGAAGTAGCAAAGGTCATGGAGCTTGTGACGGAATGATGCTATGGTTTTAGAGCAGAATGCTAGGGCTTCAGGAGATCCCCCATGAGAGGGTTTGCCTCTGTTTATATAGTGAACCTTGAGTGTTCCCATCCTGAAAGGATCCTGAGTCTTGTCTTTGGAGGAGTTCTCTTCCTGGAAGAGATATGATTCCTTGCCTTTATCGGATTAGACTCACCAATTTCGACAAGAATCTAGGTCTTACTAGAAGAGGATTCTCTGTTTATTGGACTATTGTGAGCTGATGGGCCGGAGCCCAGCCAAGCTTAATTTGCAGGGTAGCCCAACTCGTGGAGAGAGCAGTTCGCAAATTAGATTTAAGCATGGGCCTAACTAATTGGGCTAAGGTCTTGGGCCGTAACATGTTTATTTTGTTATTGGGCCTTGTCAGGCCCAATACAATTTTTGGCCCATACACGAATGACAGCAATAGGGCCACTGCCACGCTGAAATTGTGCCACAGTGAAAGAGAACTCATAAATGGCATTTTCAATGTGAAAACCTACTTCCCTCACTTGTTTTACCCTAATTAAGTGACCTTCATTGCTTTCTCCTCCTTTTTCTTCAATTGCTGCTCTTGCGTCCACATCTTTGAGGGAAGCTTTGATGCTTTCCAATTCCCCTTCCATGTCTTCAGCTTCTTGTTTTGCACTTCCGAGCAACTTGATCTCTTGTGTTAGCAAGGAACCCAAGGTTTTTATAACGAAGTGCACTACAGCCTTTGCCATATCTCACTTTTTCTTACTCACTTCAATGACTCAAACCAGATGTATATGATCACTATATGTAGATTTTAAGTTTTTGAAATATGTAGTTCTCCTTTGTTTACTTGCCTCTCTTTACCGATTGAGGAGAATGGCTGTGGCATAGACCGAGGATTGTTGGGATCTAGGTATTGACCGATTGAGGAGAAGGGATATGGCATGAAGAAGCTGACGACTAGGTGCGATTTTGAGGGCGGAGGATTTTGGGGCAGTAGGGGTGGGGAAGAAAGGTATAAGGGTTTGAATTTAGGGTTGCTATTTTTTTTCTAAGTTTATATATAAGGGATAAAATGATATAATTACCACCATTCTGACCTTATCTTAATGGTAGGTGAAAAATGTCGTTTTAAAACAATTTCCGTTTCGGCCAAACCTTAGGTGGGTGGGGGAAATTGTCATTCTCCCTTTTTCCGGAGATACAACCACTACGATACTGCACCTTCTGCTTTCTTTCCTCGTCTTCTTGACGTTTTGAGAAAAGTTGGAATACAAAGAGCCAAGGATAACACGTGTGAAACTCATTAAAACTTTTATTTAATGTTATAACAGGAACCAAGGATTACCCCGAACTTTTGCTTAGTAATCAAATTCATAGCAATTACAGTAAAACCTCTCTATAGTCATAATGTTGGGATCAAACTAATTTATTACTATAAGGAGGTTATAACTTAATAGATGTGTAGTTACAAAAAAACTATTTTGATTTCTTATTTTATAATTCATGTTTTAGTAATATATATGTATTAGAACTTCAATTAATTGTTTTAGTAGTATTAAGATTTCTTATTTACTTTTAATATTACTTGTTTCTTATTTTATAATTTATGTTTTGGTAGTATTAGGATTTCAATTCATATTTTAGTAGTATTATGATTTCAATTTATTTTTTTGGTAGTATTAGGATTTCCTATTTACTTTTAATATTACTTGATTTCCTATTTTAAAATTCATGTTTTGGTAGCACTAGGATTTCAATTCATGTTTTAGTATTAGTAGGATTTCAATTCATTGTTTTAGTAGTAGTATTAGGATTTCTTATTTACTTATCCTAGTAGAATTATGATTAGCCTACTATAAATAGGGTTGTTATGTTTCAACTTATTCAATCAAGTTTTCAATAAAATCTTCCACCAATTCAAGTGATACCTTTCTTCTCCCTCTAGCAAATCAATCATGCCACCCAAAGTTAATACACGAACTCAATTGACCGAATGTATTCGTGTTGAGTTGTGCAAAATGAAAGAATCAAACCCTAGTTGGAAGCAGAAAGATCTTGTGAAGTGGTTAGAAGATATTCATGGTCTTAAGGTATCATAAGCAACAATATCTAAGACACTCAAACGATCAGTTGACCTCCTTTAAGAAGAAGGATTGTTGAACCCAAACACAAAACATTCAAAGATGTTGTAGTACCCAGCAATGGAGTCTGCCCTCTATGAATGGTTTGTATGTCATCAAGAGCATGTCAATATGAATGGTGAATTGTTAAAAGAGAAGGGAAATATTTTTCTAAAGAACTCTATCCCGAAGCTACCTCGTTTGAATTTTCAAATGGATGGTTGGAAACGTTCAAGCAACGACATGCAATTCATTCCTTTCGTCATTTTGGGGAAAGTGGTTCAGTTAATATGGAGAAAATTAAAGCTAGTTTGCCATCAATAAGAGAGGAATTAGACAAATGGGCTTGGAAGGACATTTATAATATGGATGATTATTTTATCGAATGCAAGTCGATAACTCTCTTGCAACAAAGCAGTTGGAGGGCCAAAAACAAAACAAAGAGAGGATTAAAATTGTTATTTGTTGCAATGGCGATGACTCTGACAAACTTCCGCTTTGGGTCATTGGTAAGTTTCTTAATCCAAGATGCTTTAATAATGTTAACCGTGATGATCTCAATTGCAAGTGTCGAGCGAATTCAAATGCATTGATGACATCTTTGTTTTTTATAGAATGGCTTAAGTGGTTTGATAGCCGTTTGGATAGATATGTCTTGCTTATATTAGATAATTGTACCGCACATGGTAAAAAGGAGAATCTACCCCCACTTCATCACACAATTGTTCTGTTCCTACCACCAGCTAGCACTTCCAAAATCCAGCCATGTGATGCAAGCATTGTTAGAAATTTCAAAGGTTATTATCAGTTGTGCTTTAATCGTTTACTTTTGAAATGGATAGAAGATCATGTATTAGAACCAGAAAAGATAAGTATCCTTGATGAATTTGTAAATGCAATTGCTACATGGTTAATTGATATGAAGCCACAGACAATTATCAATTATTTTAAGCACTGCAAAATTAGGGCCCCCTATGTCAATGAATTGCAAGTTACAAATGAAGTGGATGCGGAGAATAGAAGAGTCATTGTAGAATTGAGTGATCAGATTCGACAAGTTCACTACACTAATCGAATGGATATTAATGTATTCCTCGATCATCCAAATAAGCAACAAGTTGTATATGTTTTAACTGAAGAAGAAATCATTGCTGCAATTAGACAAGAAGAGAAATGAAATAATCCTGAGGATGATAGTACGGAAATGTAAAAAGTTTTGTGCCATGAAGCTCTAAACATGCTTGAGAAGTTAGAAATATTTTGGCTTTAACAAGAAGGTGTCCATACTAGCGAGTTATTATATACCCGCAAGATAGAAGAGTTGGTAACAACTCTAAAGCATAAATCATTGTCCCAAACAACTTTAGATAAATATTTTATTTCATCATAAACCTTTAATGTAACATAATATTTTTTTTTTGTAATATATAAATAATTATTACTACGTGGAGGCAACTTTCCTTAAGACAGGAATTAATAAAATTATAACTTATTATAATGTGAAGTTTATTCTTATTTATAACTATCCCAAATTGGGAATATAATTTTTTATGACTATGTAGAGTTTATTCCTATAAAGAGTATCACTATAAAGAAGTTTTACTGTATATGACAAATCATCAAAAGCTACCTCGTGTTCTAACACATCAAATAACTCTTCTTCTCCAAGTATTCTCTCAGTGTGGTGATCAGTTCATTTCGTTCATTTTGTCTATGTCTCCTGGTGTTGGAAAATTAACCCCCTTTTGTTTAACTTTTCAAATTCTATTTTATTCTACTATCATATTCTAAACAGTGAAAAACATGTTTGTTTTAATATTGACTAGTCAATTTAAAATCCAATCATATTCAATTCAATTCAAAACATTTAACAATTACTTTTTGCAATAAAAATTTATAAATTAATAAAAACACCCCTACCCACCCAAGCCACAGTTGCCCGCCAACAACCATCGTCGGTTGCCAACTGTTGTAGCTGCCACCGCTGGAGCCAAAATGACACACGATCGACCAGATTTGGCCAATTGTGTGTTGATTTGGTCGTTGACGACGACCAATTTATGCCCATAGATCTACTCGTTTTCGGCCACATATATGGTGAATTTGGTCGAAAAAGGCCAGATCGACATTGACCAAATCTAGCGAGTCATACGCTATTTTGGCGATTGCCAACCACCATCCAATGGTGGCCAATTGCCGACAGTCGATTGGATAAGTGGAAGTGTTTTTGTTAATTTATATATTTTTATTGTGAAAATGTTAGCTAAATTAACAAATATAAGGAGTTAAAAAATATTTTCAGAAAATATTTAAAAAAATATATCAAACACATTCTCAAATCTTAAAATATTTTAAAAAATATACCAAACACATTCTCAAATCTTATCATATTGATTAAATCCTATCCTATCCCAGGAATAATATACCAAGCCTAAAATTTTTGTATGATTTTCGTCGGCAGATGTATCTTTATCAAATTCTTTCTCCACAGTGATCCAAGCCCGGCAATTGAACTGAGATTTCACAACCTGAAAAGTGGTCTTGCCTCCTCTTAGCTTCACTACCACAATTACTGAGCGTTGCTCGCCGTCACCAACAAATCAATTATAGATTCAATATCCACAACTTGCGATTCTTTAATAAAAGAAGAATCAACTCGAGAGTCGTGTGCTATAATATTTCTGTTTTCACTGCTTGATCTTGTTAAACAATCCAAAGAAAATAATAAAAAAGAGGAGGCTAGGGTTTCATTGATATTGCACAATTCAATTGAATACAAAAAGTATGATTTAACCTAAATACAAAGATATATATATATAGGCTAAACAAAGGAAATAATGAAAAGACAAATCTATCCTTAATAAACAATAAAACAAAATAACTCATATTTCTTAACAGATCTATGATATGTGGAGCTGAATTTATATTTGTCAGCTCTTCCTATCATGTAATCAAGTTATAATCTGATATCTTGGATTTCATTACCAATTTCACACCGCAGTTTCAGTTTCTTTGAGTGATTTTATGGAGGACACCCATAAGGCCGCCGCCATTGGGAAATCGTGCCACGGTGAAAGAGAACTCGTCAATGACATCTTCATTCTTCAATACGATATGCTTCTTCCCTCGCTTCACCCAAGTTCAGACACCTTCACTGTTTTCTCCTTTCTCTTCAACTGCTGCTCTTGCGTCGGCATCTTTGAGGAAAGCTCTGATGCTCTTTAATTCCCCTTGCATGATTTTAACTTCTTGTTTTGCACTACCAAGCAACTTGATTTCGTGGTTAAGAAGGAACCCCAAGGTTTCTATAGCGAAGTTAACTACAGCCTCTGCCATACCTCACTTTTTCTTACTCACTTTACTCACTTTAACGATATCAAACCAGCAGAATGTGATTTTTTTTTAAAGATATACAATAAGTTACAGCGCTAGTATGAATGAATAACTGCTGATAGTCAATTAAATGAAGCTTTCGTCTTTTGATCAAGTAGCAGAGTGATGATCACATAAGCAATTTTTGGTTGACTAGGGCATAACGCTCCCCAGTTGGCCACTGCCTCAGTGTTGCATCTTGTAAGCAAGCTTTATGATTAATAGAACAGAAAAAGCCTTATATACTAATTTTAATTAGTTAATTATTGGGATTTTGTAGTTATAACATCTTATATGGTACAAATGGTAGATGTGTCTGTCAAATATGAGTTACCAGAACCTTGGGATTTCTGCATATAAAACAACTTTCCAGCTGACAGCAATTGGAGATAGAACAGGAGAATTTGATTGTGGCATGTGTCTGAAGAACAAGAGAGTGCCAAGCCATCAAAGACAACACCTTCTGAAAGGGTATGGTTAACCATGGAATAATAGAGCAAAATTAGTCTCCCTGCAGGTTGACTATTGAGTGATGGATTAAAAAGGGCATTGATTATCACAAATTAGATGAATTTTGAAAATATAAAGGGTGATAGTTGGCACAGATTACATGGATTTTGAAAATATAAAGGATGTTGTTTAAAAAGGACATAGTTGGGACAATTTTGATAATGACATTTTCCCACCCAAGGTTTACCTTTCAAACCCTTTCCCACCCAAAAAGTTTCAAAATACCACTTTCCTACCCGAAGTTTATATTCCGTTAATACCCAAAGCCGATTTCGGCCAATTCTGATGGCAAAAATTCTCTCCGTTATCATCATTTGAACTTTTGATCTCTTCTCTATAAAACTCCTCTTAGTTTGATACCTAATTTCTCGCTGATTGTCAATCGTCGCAAAGCTAAAGTTTCTAGTTCTTAGTTAATTTTCGACTGATTCCAACGGTAAATATTCAATCGATCACCATCATTCAATCCTCTAGCCTCTATTATACAAAACCCCTCTTACTCTGGCTCTTGATAACTTGCTGAATGCCGGTTGAGAAAGTGAAGTATATTTTGGGTATTAACGGAATATAAACTTTGGCTGGAAAAGTGGTATTTTGAAACCTTTTAGGTGGGAAAATGATATTTTGAAATTAAAGCAAACGTTGGGTAGGAAAAAGTCTCCCTAGAATAATTGTTTAAAATGAAAATACGTATTATATAAAGTAAGGATTTAGAGACAGCAAATGACGAAATTGGAATCTATTAATGTCACTTTAATGCCTTTGTCCTACATAGAGAAAGATATACCCTGGTGCCTTTAATTGCTCATTCTAATTATGTGCAACTTCCTATATATGATTCTATCAGTCGACCCACCCTGTAAACTTATGTTGATTTCTGTAAAACCACTTCTCACAAACTCGCACTGCAGCGGCATGATGAAGGAAGTTAAATCCCAAGTCAAGGCTGGTGTTGAGATTGGAACATTCTGGAAAGCTCTGACTAAAGATATGAGATTTATCATTCCAAAGATTGTCCCAAATTTAGTGAAGGAAGTGGAACTTGTTGAAGGAGATGGTGGCCTCGGTTCAGTCCTGCTCTTCAAGTTTGGCTCTGGTGAGTCTGTCCACCTTCATTCTTAGTTATTTATATTTCAGTTACATAGAATATTTAATAATGGTAGTGGGTTTTATGTTTAATTCATCTGTTAATTCTAATTGATCAATTGTGGTGATTTTTCCTGCTATTCTCTATGGTAAAAACACTAGATGTGTCAAATATGAGTTACCAGAAGGAGAAAATTGTTGAGCTTGATGAGTGTCTGCATATAATCTCACTGCAAGTGGTTGAAGGAGGCCACCTGAATCTTGGTTTTTCTGTATATAAAACAACTTTCCAGTTGACTTCAATAGGAGAACATGAGACTTCGATCGATGTCATTGTGGCATATGAGTCGGAAGTTGAAGAGAGTAGCAAGCCATCAAAGACAACTGCTTCTGCATTAGCTTTTATCAAATGCCTAGAAAGTTATCTGCTTAATGGTGCTTCCTAAATTTTCTTTAATTGTGAACTACTCCATGATCTATCCATAACTGGTCTTCCATAATCTCTAAAAGCTTGATACATGTAATAGAAAAAACATGTTGCTTATAGCAGTTTTAGTATTGTCGAATACAATCACTCTTCAACCTGTTCTGCAATTCCAATAGTAGTCTATTTAATAATCCAATTTGATCCTGTCATTAGGTCCATAGAGATTATGTGCTGCTAAGCATTATGTCTCTGTCAACGGATTACCCATTCTGGTTCTAGACAAAGTCGTTTAAGATTCAGGAGTTTTTCACTTCACTGGATGAAGTGTTCATTTTTATGACACCAGCATCATATTTGATGTGGCTTCTTCAAATTGAGTTTATTATAATAACAAGTTTATGATAATAGAACAGATAAGTTTTGTGTAAATTTGTTAGTTTTTGGGTTAATAAAATGTAAAAGAGTTTTTCAGTATTAATTTATTAAAAGAGTGATTTTGTAAAGGACACACAAAAGGCGATTGCTGTGGGGAAGTTATGCCACGGTGAAAGAGAACTCACCAATGACATCTTCAATCCGATAAGCTTCTTCCCTCACTGGTTTTACCAAGTTAAGACACCTTCATTGCTTTCTTTTTCTTCTTCAGCTGCTGCTCTTGCGTTCGCATCTTTGAGGAAAGGTCTGATTGTCTCCAATTCCTTTTGCATGCTTTTAAATCCTTGTTTTGCGCTTCTAAATAACTTATTCTTGGATAAGGAAGGAAGTCAGGAACCCACGGTTTCTACAGCAAAGTTCACCGCAGCCTCTGCTATATCTCACTTTCACTGACATCAAACCTTCAGATCCAATTTTATGATGCATAGGCTCATGTGAGCATATGTTTTATGATTGATTCTATGTTTGACGATTGCGTAGACTTTTTAGTTTGATGGATGAGAAAATATGTGATAATCCGTTGTTTGGAATAGATAAGAGAATGTCTTCTACAGTTCTACTGCATGTTGATTCTTCTATAAAAATTATACTACACTGTAACTTCTTCCTTTGTTTTTTATTAGCTTATCCGGAATTCTCTCCTATACGAGCAGCGAGTTTCTATCTGAACTTCTAAAGATTTGTGATTAGTCCAATTAAAAGCTTTCAGTAATTTAGAATGTCAGGCAAAAATGAGCCTTTCAGGAATATTAATTGAAAGAAGGCTGTGTCTTTTACGACAATTTTTACAATTGAGGAGAACCTGAAGTCTAAAGATTCATTGTATCATTGAGTAGGACCAGCAGGTGTAGGTAAGTCCTTGGCGATTGCAAACAAGGCAACAAGTTTTTTTTTTTTTTCTTTTTTTTAATGACCAGACTGTCCAAGCCAGACTGCATGCACCTTAACTATTTTTCGAGATCCATTGAACACCTTACAAGCCCAATAATTAAGGTAAGTCACAATGTGGTAGGTGGTTTAAGGTTTAAACCCAAAAAGTCAATGAAGGGAGCAAACCTTATTGATCGCCAAGCCAACCCTTTAGGGTTTGAAAGTCATCCATTGAATAGTGCTTCCTAGTTTTGCTTTATTTTAAACAGTTGCCTATCATAACTGATACTCCACAATGTCTTAAATGTCTTCACCATTTGAGTTTTCAATGTTAATCTTTGGTAAATAAAAGATTTTGTGTTGTCATTGAACGTTGATTGTAATGGGAAATTGTATAAGACTCCACGATCCCTACAGCTTCAACAAATATACTTGACTTGCACTAATTGAAACCAACATTACACCATAAGAACATAACAAGACTGTTACTTAGCACAATAAACGATAGTACCCAACATTACAAAATGCCATATCTTTTGGCAATCTGTAGCAATTATTCCAGTAACGAAGCTACTCTTATTCAGTTGGATAGCAAGCAACTTTTTTCAGCTTTCATTTCTTGCAAACAATTCCGTATCCTGCAGAGGACCTGCGGGTGCAGTCCAGGGTGTCATACTCTATCACTTCTGTGATCACTTGGTCTGCACCGTCACTTTCTGTTGAGAACACACAAGCACCGCATTCTGTGGAGAGAAGGGTATCGGTTTTATACTTCTCTTCGCCTCCCAAAACCGCCATTGCCACACCAGGTTTAGCTGGGTTCTCGAAATCAGGCCTGTAAGTCCTGCCAAGAACTCCATCAACCTTTGCGGACAGATTAAAAAACCTAAATTGAACCTCCAAGTGAGCAAAGCAGTCATCAGCTGGAGTATGGTACTTGTGGATTCTGTCGTCTTCTTTGGTTATTGGCACCACATTGACCAAAATTTCAGCTGTATCCTTCAGGGAGACAATGGCACTATTCTTGCTTGAAACTCTCTCCACTTTAATTTCTTTTCCTTCAGAGTGCCAGACGGATAGTGGACCTTCTGGGATGTCTAAGTCCTGGCCATTGCAAGCGAACTTAAGATGGTCAACTTCACTGTCCCATTCAGCAGCCTTGGTGGCCTCAAGAGAGAATTTGTGAGATTTGAAAAGGATTCCCAAGGCCTGAATCCAGGTAAAGTCCCTGGTGCGGCCGGCTGGGCGGTGGCCAATGAAACGGCCATTGACTTGCATATTGGGGTCAGAAACTAGGCTAAAGTGTTCATTGCTCTTGCCATGGAAGTAGAAGACAATGCCATCGCCACCAATGAAACGAGGATCATAGCATGCGGATCCAGGGCTGTCACAGTTAGCTTTCTTGTCTGCAGAAAACAAAACAAAAAATTAATACCAAAACAATATTTCCAAACTCCATTATGTTCAGTTAATTGTTAACTTACGTTTGCACTGAGCCTGGCAAACGGGTGAATAACAATTTACATAGCAAACTTTTGCGTTGTGGTCTGAGGAGGAAGTGTAGGGGCATTCATATGGGCACTCTATTTTCTTGCCATAGCATGGACTTGTTGGGTATGTGCAGGTAAAAGTACCCACGGCCTCTGAAACTTGAGCTACACCTGAAACCAAAACTATTGCAACGATTACTAAGAAGCTAACTTTTACGGTCTCCATGGTTTTCAATGCTGTAAAGAAAGACTAGAAGGAGGTTGAGAGATGCCACAGCTCAGTTTCTGCAACGCTATTTATAGGATCTAACAACCAGGTGGTTGTTTTCTTTCATTAATCTTTTCTAAGAAGGTTATGATCTTTACTCAAAGCAGTAACATGGGATTTGTCGGTTATATAATTTCAGAGAGCTTAATGGTGAAACAAAAAAACACATGCCGTTCCTTTATTCAGAAGGCTACAGAGTACTCTCATGGTGATTATTGATGCCTTGACACAGCAAAATTTGCCTCCCTCCCGGACGACTGTCAAAAGATTAGGAAATTGAATATTTAAATGTAAACGTAACTTGGATAAAGCTAATGTTGCAATTTGCAGAAGAATCTCTGATAGGAATCACGTCACCCAATAGAAAAAAATCCATAAATTTAAGTCAAATAGATAATTGAGTTGTTACATGGGCTAGTGTTTAACTGTATCCTGGAATTGTACTAAAAATAATTCAACTCAATCTGGCATTATTTTTTGAGATGAAGAGAATTGGAAGAGCAAGTTTGGCTTCATTCAATCTTCTTCTTCAATCTTAATTTCCCAAAGAAACGTTGGACGACTTTCTTAATATATCTATTTATCTATACATACATGTGTAATAACCCTGAATAATCTCAGTAATATTTTGTGGAGTAGCTTTTGTGATCCTTTTTGTTGATGCTTGATTTTGACACCAACTAATCACACGTGGAAAATATTGAGCTGACTCAGAAAACATACGTGTATATGGGGGTATTGAATTGATTAAGAGATGAAGAACAATGTTTAAAGTGGTTCGGATGCTTAAACAAGCGAATCCTACATCTACTGATATTGTATTAATATATGAAATCAAGTCACGTTCAGCGAGCTGATTTATAGTTTAGAGAATACAAGTGAATACACGAGAGAGAGAGAGAGAGAGAGAGAGAGAGAGAGAGAGAGAGAGAGAGAGAGAGAGAGAGAATGTATGCTATTTCAGAGAAAAATTAGCTAATCTCACAAACGGGAGAGGAACCCATTATTTACAGTGGGATGAATTGAGGTAATGATTATTAAATATGTGAGTGGGTCAGATTGCCGTGCAAATCCTTCTTTATGTCCCGTTGCTCACCTGCTCGAGTGATTTCCTCTTGCGCAGGGATTGGACACGTGGAACGTTTCCAGCCTTTCGTCATTCTGGCGTATACCCACTACACTGGTAGGACCATGCTACTCACGTCAGCATGCGACGTGGCTGCGTTTGAACGGTTGCATAACCTACCTAAGCTCTGACTGCCCACGCTGACAAGGCTTGGCGTCAACCCTACTTTTTCAGGCATAACACTTTTATTCTTTCATTTGGGGAACTTAACAAATCAGAAACATGAAAAGTCGATCAATTTTTTTTTCCTATATTTTGATAATGTTGAGATTTCTTGAATATTTCCAAAATATTATGTAATCTCTTAATTTTTTCACTTTTAGGATACTCATAATATTTTTGATATCTTGTAATCTCCTAATTATGTTGGTATATTGTAATTGACATAATTATGAGATTATGTAGATTGTATCTCCCCTATATAAAGCTTGTAACTATCAGTGTAAATATCAATGAAGTGAAATATCCAATTTTTCACATGATATCAGAGCCAGGTTCTGATCTAAAAAATTGCCTTTAGAGCAACCACTAGGAAATTCATTGGCGAGAAATAGTACCATCAGCCATCATCAATCCAAAAAAGGAGAAAACGCGACAATCCAAATTCTAAAACCACCAACCCAACCACCAATTGGCCGCTGCAAACCACAAAACACCCAAAAAAAAAAAAAAAAAGAAAAAAAAATCCCAATCCAAAACAAATCAACAACTCGGCAAGCCCAACAACAACAAGAAGAGAAGGTCTATGGCTGCTGTTTGGGAAAAGGAAGAAGATGCCAAACAACCTTCATCATTTGTAGCTACAGTTGGAAATGATGGTAAGTCTTTACATATGTGTACATTTGTTTCTCATAGTGCATGGATAATTGATTCTGGTGTTACTGATCATATGACATTTGATTCTAGGCATGTTTCTAATCTTAAGTCATCCTCACAAAACTTTGTTTCTACAACCAATGGTGAATCTAACTGGGTCATTGGGGGAAGGATCATTAACCCTTAAAAACTCCATACACTTAGATTTTGTCTTAGTTGTCCCATCCTTAAATTATAACTTGTGTCAGTCTTTAAAATAACCAAAGCCTTATCTTGTGTGGTGATTTTTTGAGTTTAAGAGCATTCAAACAAAATAGACTATTTGTCATGGTATTAGACGAGGGCAATTGTATTACTTAGATTTAGAGTCAAAAAACTCTTCCATGTCATAGCAGGCTTTAATAGGAGATTACTCTAAAAGGGATAAACAAAAATTTAATGCCCAGCATGGGGGTACATGATTTAATTTATGTTTTTATAGCCCTTAGTTAATTTTTGTTAAAGTAATTTTAAGAGAATGTGAAAAAATGCCTTAAACTTGCATTAAGGGTAAAATGGTATTTTCGCTCAAAATTAGTTGAAAAAGTGGGGAGTGAAAAGAGATAGAATTTCATAGAGAATGCATTAAAAATGAGGGCATTATGGTAATTGACTAAGGGACATAGATGAAATTTTTAAGAAAGAGTAAGGGCAAAATGGGAAAGTGTGTTTATAAACTAAAGTGTTAAGGGTTTGAAACCCTTATTTTCTTCATTCACCGCCACACTCCTCGCCCATTTTCTCTCAAATTTCCATTTAATCCTCCAAGGATTTTGAGGGCTTTCGAGTGGTTTTTCATAGGGTTTTGATTTTAGGCTTCAAGAGATAAGGATTCTTGCTCCTTATCTATGTTTTATTTGTGTAAAAGTTGAGTTCTTATGGAGTTTATGCTTAAAGTTAAGAGAAGATTTGAATCCAATAAGAGTAGAGAGCTTAGTAGAGACTACTCAAGCATAAGGTATGTAAATTCCACTCAAATTCCAACTCAAGTTAAAGTTTAAGAAAATCAAGTGAGTATTTCTTTTAAATATGCATATGTTATGATTATTGAGAAATTAAGATGAGATGGATGATTAGTTATGCTTGTTGTTAGATATACTTGAATACGAGGAGTGTATGTGATAGTTTGATGATGGGTTGAAATTGGAAGAATTGGAGAAACTTTTGGGAGTGTTTTTGCCGTGTAGGTATGGTGATGTTACAAGAGAGTTTTTCTCTCAATTTGGATGGTTTAAGTAACAAATAGAATGATAATTACATTAGAGTTTGTTTATGCACAAGTGTTGTTTGATGAAATGCCTAAGAGAAGTATAAGTTGAGTAGAAACCTTAATTTTATGCAACATTGCATATGTGCATTTCATAGGTGCATTTAAGTAAGAAATTGTTAGAGTCATGAAAGTGACTCTATTTTGGTGATAAAAATACCCCATGTGTGATTTAATTGAAGTATATTGAGATAATTAAAGAATTTATGAATTTATTCACGAAAATCGCTTCCTAATATGTTTCTTATGAATTTAACGTGTTTGGAATGATTTTGGAAAGTATATGAGTTGATATTAGGTTGTGGTTTATGGATTAAGGGTGATTTTGTCTCATTTATGCTGTTTAGGGGGTAAAATGTCATGTTTTAAGGGGCTGATTTTGTCACTTTTCAATTATGTAGGGACTAAACAATATTTTACAAATTATTCTATAAAAGAAAAGTGCAGATTGCGTTTTCCAGGGAGGCTGTTCACCCAGTTTTCCAGCGACCCTTCGTCTCCCTCCGGCGATGATTCATCTCCCCATGCATCGATCCGTCATCAACCACCGCAAACCACCAAGAAACGCCACACAACACCGCGACGCTTCGCCTTCCACCACCGCGTCGTTTCGTCTTCCCGGCCAGTTTTGGCCGTTTTTCAATGACGTTCTAGCTTCCCAAGGGTAGATCTTCATTCCCCACGGCCGGATCTACACTTCCCTAGCTTCAGTCGCCGCGAAAACCGTCGGAATCCGCGATTTAGCCGCCGCGACTCTTCATCTTCCAGGCCAGATCCTGCTCATTTCCGGTGACTTCTCACCTCCCCAGGACCTGATCTGAACTCCCCATCATCAGAGCTTTCCATCGGTACCTTCGGATCCCATTTCTGCCACCGTTTTTCAGAAGACCCGCCGAAAAATTAACGTTTTCCAGCGAAGAGCGGCTATTCGTATTCCGGCTATCCGTTGGTCATTTTTGGCCCTTCTTCGCATCATATCGCTGTCGGTTACCTCCTCTCCACCATGATCAGGTCTGTTTCCACCGTTTTGGCCTCCGTTATCACTACCATGAGCGGCTAAGCTCCCGGTTGTCCGTTACGGTGTAGGCGAGATCGAGATTGACTCCACTGATCCCCTCATCAGCTCTTGACTAGTTGGATGAGCCCGAATGTTGGATATTTGGTTAAGTTTCTTGTATTCAGATTATATTTGTTTTCGTTTCAGTTTGTTTGCGATACTTTAATATTATTCTGATGCTCGACGTGTTGAATTGATAATGTCCATTGAGAACGTTTATTGATATATAACTTTTCTCATAATTGAATGTCGGTTTGAGATTATTGAATGTTGATTATTACTTTAAATTGTTTTTTTACTGATTTCAATCAAGTTGTAGTAGCGTTTAATATCATTTCTACTAGGAATGCATTTATTGTGTAATTAGTTGATTGGATGATACAGGTTCGTATGCTGTACTTGTTTACATTGTACCAACTAGTGGTGTTTAAGGGTTTAGCATTTTTCGGTTAGTCAATGATAATCTTTAACCAATCGATCTGTAACTAAGACGACGAGGAGACAGGATAGATTATGCCTAGATTTCCGGGAGATATTTCTATTGATTTGCCTAGCCTTGTAGGATTAGGAAATTGAAGAGCGAGGAGAGGAATTGTGAGAGTTGGTCTTGAGTCAAACCGAACCCGTAGCGACAACGCTTTTAATATTGTGTTTTAGTTAGCAATTTATT